AGGGGAGAAGCAGCCACAAAAGATCACATAATCTGATTCCTTTTATAGGAAATGTCCAGACCAGACAAATCTCCAGGGACAGAAAACAGGTTAGTGGTAGATTCCCAGGGGCCCGGAAGCAATACATGTTTACACAGAACAGGTCCCTCCCAGCCTGGCAGATATTTGCTGCCTTCCTTGAAGAGCGGCACTCGGATAGCAACTTGGAAACTTAGGATTCCTGGGTCGCACTGGGAGATCCACGGCTCAGATCGGGTGTCTCTGAACCTGGCTGGAATAATTACACACCTTTATTTCGTAACAAAAAGTGACACCCCCGTCAGCCACTTTAGAGAGGGTTTGACTTTTAAATTAACAGACATTAGATCAAAAGAAACGCTCGACAGGGGATGGCAGGAACCCTCTGGGTGAGTCTTGTGTTAGGTTAGAAGTTGCACAAGGACAGAGACTAAAGCCTCCCTGTCCTCTCCTTCACAGCCTTCAGAGCACAACTCGGAGAGTGCTCGTCTGACTGCTGGTCACAGCTCGAGGCTCAGCTATACAGCACTGATTAAGAACCACAGTACAACAACCATGGTTCATTTCCTATCACCTTGTCTGAATTTCAGTATTGCTTGTATTATTCTGGTGTTATTTTGTAAATGTATGTGTGTTTGTTAATATGTTTTCATTCTTTTATTTTTTTAAATAAAAAAAGATGAAAAAAGAAAACCACATTAATTCCCCTGCAGGACTCTAAACCCTTTTCACAGAGGCACATAGGAAGACGGGTGTCAGAGCAAATATTTCAAGTTTGTCTAGTGAGAGTTCCAAGCCAAGCACCTACGCCTCTGCCATGGCAGGGCAGTGGGGAGATCGGCCCTCTGCAGGAGGGAGGAGGATGGGGGTGTAGAGAACATCAGATACAGACGCAGTGAAAATCCTGGGTGCCTGACAACTGTCTCGGTAATTGCTGGTAAGATGTGTCATTTATAGATTTTTTTTAAAACTGGCTCACCACTCCAGAGCCTCATCCTCTAGACATGCAGAAGCAAAAAGCGAGCTAGAACCCACCACCTCAAATGGAAACAAGGCCATACCAACTCCCTGCTCCACGAGGGCTTTCTGTCCTAGGCCCTGCCTGGCTACCACAGTGACTGTGAACCTTAAGGAAGTTTTACCGTTGCATAGTAGAGCCTGGGGCCTATTTGAATCTCGATTTAACTTTATTTTCATTTAAGCCTTTTCCTGGACCAGCTCTCTGCTAACATTTTTGTCTTTACATTAACACAGCGGTGTCTTGTATTCTTTTCCATTATTTTCCTGTTACTTTTTGGTTACTTTCCAGGTTCTCCATGGGGTTCTCCCTGTTGTGGGTTCCCTGCACCCGTGCCACCCAGCACCATAGCCACTAGCCAGGTGGGACGTCTGAGACACTAGAATTTGGTGTGACACTCCGAATTGGGACACACCTAAGTGTGACGTGCATGCCCCATTTCAGACACTTTCAGTGATTTTTAAAATTTTGGTCTCATGTTAAATGATACTACTGAGGGTGTAGGGGTTAAACACAACTTACTAAAACTCACTTCCTCTGCACCTATTGCTTTTTCAACAGTTCTCTGGTACAGCACTTCAGACTGCAGTGCTGGCTTGCACCGCTTCTACCGTACACCGCTGCTCTGAGCCTTAGTACACCGAAGGGCACTGGGAACCTCTTGAGAGGCGAAGAGGGCAGGCAGAGCTTCCAAACACAGAGAGCACGGCAGCACCGGTCAGGTAGCGCCTTGCTGGGTTCAGTGCGCTGTTCTCCTTCTTGGAGCCCGGTGCACACGGGGGCTCATCAGTCCCGACTCTGCTTGGGCCCCTATAGGGGAGGTCAGTGCATTTACTGCTCTGCCCGGAGGTGTGCTTCTCAAGAAATCAACTTACTTAGTACAGCAGGGGAGGAGCCCGTGACTGTGTGGCTCACTTTCCCATCTGCTTTCACATGGGTGGGACCAGCAAGAGCTTCTTTCAATGCAGGCAACACACGCACAAGGTTTCAGCACAATGGTGCACTCTTGTCATTTCGCTGCACCCCACAGAATCATCGAATGTGAGACTGGAAGGAGTCTAATCCGAGACCCCGAGTCTTGGTCTTGCTTAGGGACCAAGTCCTAACCGCCAGGAATGCACAAATCTTTCTGGAGTGTCTGCTAGGTGACAGGCACTTGTCTCAGACTCACCAACAAGCTCACCAAGCTGCTTCTCTCAGGACCAGTCCAGTTGTGTAGGCTCCAGGAAGAGGGCAGAGTCGAGTCACCTTCCCAGGGTCCCTCAGCTGGAGGACGGCTGGGTACCACCCTCCACTCGGCTTTACTGCCTCTGGGAAGACCAAAACTTCCAATTGTATCCAATGTAATATTCCAGCTACTCCAGATTAGCAGTATACCATGTGTCTGCACCAGGCAGAGGATGGCTGGAATGTATTCAACAGTGTAATATAACCATTTTTAACCATGTAGAAACGGACACGGCCAGACAAACATTTGCTTTGCCATTTTTCATGTTAACGGGGAAGTCCGCTGTGACATCTGTGTTAGTTTATTCGTATCTGCGCACTACAGCTCTACATGGCGTTTCCTCTTCACGCTCCATTCTGTCCTTCCTGTAAATTCATGTACTAGACTTTCCATCTGCAAGCATGGGAACAAGACACAGAAAATACTGAACTTTTCCGATTCTAGAGCCAGGTCAGAGCGCAGCGATGCCTGACACCTCGACAGCACTGACCGTCTTGAAGATGTCTGGCTATGACATAATGCCTACTTTTTCTCTGGTTTAGAGAAGAAAATACAAACACAGCACTGGTGAGCAGCTCCGCCCACCTGGCCAAGACTCCGGCCAGGAGGATCCTGACTCAGCTCGTTAGGTTATGTTGCCTCCTACTGGTGGGAATGAGGCACTGCACAACACCCGCCTTCGGCGTTTCTCAACTAGAGTATTTAATAGAGACTCTTATTTAAGGGAGGGGACTCTCTTTTTTACATATGTCTGCAGCCTAGATTGACAATCACCGCTGTAAATGATGCAAGGGACAAAGTCCAAATAGCGATCAAGCCTTAAACCCGAGAGTAGGATCCTGGAAGTGGGGCGTTTTATCTTTGTTTATGTACTTTGCGCAGTCTCTGCAATAAATCTTGCAAGAATGCTGACCTTTGCCGGGCAGCTCTTCCCCGGTTACTGTTTATAACCCCATTCCTGTAGGAGCCTTCTCTCTTCTGGCTTCTGTGAACTGTGCTCATCTCCTCTGGACCCTGTGGTGTTCGCGCCCTTTCCTGCCTTTTATGGGAGCGCCTCTTCACGCGGCCTCGGCGTGCGGTCCTTCCACAGCTTCTTGGGACGAGGTCACGGTGACTCAACAGCTTCTTGCATCTCCTGCCTGTAGCCTGGTCCCTCCTGCATCCCTCCTCCTATTCCCAGCGGGACCAGTGCCCTGTGGCCGCTCTGCCAGCCCCTGAGCTCCACGAGTGCTGGTCCTGTGCATGGCTGTCCGCACTGCTGCCTCCAGCCGCTTAAGGACAGAGGGTTGTGTCTTCCACATTGAGTAGTGCATTGCTTTATATCCTTTGCATTTGAAAATATGTTATTAGTAACGGAACTCTGCCTAACGAGACGCGCAGATAAACGACTGCGAGATAGGGTGGAGTGTGGAGACATAGCAGGCCCAGAAGCTGATAAAGCCCTGCAGTAGCCTCTGGCTAGAGAGGGAAGAAGCGGCGTGGAGGCTAATATGAAATGATGCGCTGTGCATGTGGGTGAGGGCGTGGACCTGTCATAGGTACACCGTCCCAGACAGAAGAAAAGGAAATAAAATAATAAGTTTCCAAGACAGGGTCATGGGGTTTCAGAGGGAGAGCGAGAAAAACCCAGGTCAACAAGGGCCTTGAAGGTTAAACCAAGGAGGGTGGCAGGGTATGCTGGCCAGGCAGGAGCTGAGAGTAGTATAAAGGGCGGTGGAGAACAGACACAGCTCTTCCCCAGATGTCCAGCTGTGTCCCGCTTTGCCCTGGGGACTGTGGGCCTCTGGGAAGACTGGAACTCTGCCCCTGGGGTTTGGACATGTAGAGCACAACCTGGTTGGGCAGCTGTGGCAGGGTCCACACAGCCATGGAGGAGAGAGGGCATCGGGTCTGGCAGAGCAAGCACAGCCCCTGACCCCAGCCAAGCATGGAGAGGGAAGGGCTTCCCACACTGCAGGGCAGCTGGCCTCAGAGCTGGACTCTCCCTGGGTGTGTAGCTGGGATGCAAAGGCCACACAGCACTAGGACTGGTGGTGCACACCTGCAATCCCGGCTAGCCACGAGGCTGAGGCAGGAGGATTGCAAGTTTGAAGTCAGCCTGGGCAACTTAGTGAGATGATGTCTCAAAACAAAAATTCTTAGAAAAGGGCTAGGGGTATAACCCAGTTGTAGAATGCCTGTTGAGCTTCCACCAGACTTCCATCCCCAGTCTCTCTCTCTCCCTCTCCCTCTCTCTATCCCCCCCCCACACACACACATACACACACACCTGCATACAAGGGATTCTAAAGGGAAGCTGCCTTACTCCTGGAACATTTCAGCAGCTTTGGAGGGGCCCCTGCCTGACCTTCTGCCTCAGGTTTGGTGTCAAGGGCGCAGTGTTCTCTTTGTGACACCACCGGAATCCCTTGGAGGCTTTGCCAAAACACAGACGCCCCCTTCCCAGGGTCAGAGTAAACAGGCAAGGGGAGAGGGAGCCCCAAATGTGCATTACCCCTAAGTTCCTGGGGAGGAAGATGCTGCTGGTTCAGAGACCCCCCTTAGAAAGCCACAACACAGGAGCCCCTCTGGGAGGGAGATGTGACCTAAGGGCAGGGCTGCAGTGGCCCCCAAGGGACCTGAAATGCCCCCCAAGGCCTAGAGTTACAGGTTTCATGGCTAGACTGTGGTGCCACTGGGAAGTGGTGGAACCTTTGGGATGTAGGGCCTAGTAGGAGGAAGTAAGGTCATTCTGGATGTGGCCTTGAAGGGGACGTAACAACCCTGCTCCTTCCCCTCTCTTTCTGCTCCCTGGTACCACGAGATGAGCATCTTGGCTCCACTTCTCATCCCCTGCCATGATGTGCTGCCTCACTACAGGCCCAAAGAAACAGGGCCAAGCAACCATGGACTGAAGCCTCAGAAACTGTGAGCTGAAAGAAATCTTCTCCTCTTTCAAAGTGATTTTCTCAGGTGTTTTGTCACAGTGCTGGAAAGGTGGCTAAATATAGGGACCCATGCTTAGTTTGCTCATCAGAATGCTCAGCACCTAGTAAGGTGCCTGGAACATAAAAGGCCTTCTAGAAACATATGGATAAGACTTGGTCACAAACAGCTGCAGTACCAGACAGCATGGGGTAGACACGGCCCAGTGTTTTTTTTTTGTTTTGTTTTGTCTTTTTGGGACAGGGTCTCGCTATGCAGGTCAGGCTGGCCTTGAGCTCACTTTGTAGCCCAGGCTGGTCTCAAACTCACAAGGATCCTCCTGGAGATGGCCGAGTGTTACATGTGTTCTCAGAAAAAGAATTTTACTTGTATTCTGATGAAAAAGTGTGAAGGGTAATATAGGGTTTATTTCATTTGAACATCATAATTTCATAGAATTTACCAACGGAGGTCAAGGTTAATCCTCACCTCGGTCTTTTCTCTCCCTCCAAGAAGTCAGACTACCTGCACTTCATGTGATTCCATCGCATCTTTGTGTTTACACATTTATCGTACACGGACATCTATGATCACTAAGTAGCAGAAAGTTTTTAAACGTTATGAATAACATGATATAACGCATTTCATAAAGTGCTTGTTCTCTCCACTTAAAATGATGCTTTGTATTGTCGCAAAGTATTTGTAACATGACAGTTATCATCTCAACCATTGTAAGTATATAATTCAGTGGCACCAAGCATATTCAGCGTTGTACAACCAGTACCACTATCCATCTCCAGAACTACCTTTTCATCTTCCCAAAATGAAACGCTAAACTCATTAAGCAACTTCCTTAACATTATGTGTTAATATTTCTTCATGTTGATACATCAGCATTGCTTTATCATTAGGACTGCTATATAGAATTCCAGGTTGTGAATCTGCAACTTTTATTTTCCCTCTCCCTTTTTTGTGCACCCATCTCTAGGTGCTCGCATCCTGATACTCACTGGTAGGCAGAGGATGTGCGTCTTCACCTCCACAAATGGCTTTACTCCTTTCAGCTCTGAGGGCCCCATGTTCCTGGTGACGTTGGGTCAGGGCTTACTGGGCTTTAATGTTTGCAATGTGGTGGGTATGAAATACTATCTCATTTTACTATACACTCTCCTGATTACAGGTGAGGCTGAGCATTCTTCCATGCATTTATGAGTGACTCAGCTGTCCTCGTTTGTGAATTCCTGTTTATGTCTCTGCCATTTTTTGGGGGGGGGACTCGATTATTTGTTCATTGATCTGTAGGCATTATTTACATATTCTGGATGAGGGTTTCTTTGTTGATAAAATTCAATGCAAATATCTACTCCTACTCTGTAGCTTGTCTTTTTGTTTGGTTTGAATATCTTATTACAGAGAAATTTAAAGTTTTAATATTGTCAAATGTATCAACATTTCCCTTTTTGATTTGTGCTCATTGTATCTTAGTTATGAAACCCTTCTTACTCTGAGGTCAGAGTCCCTTATATTTTAGAAGTATAAACATGCATGTCTTTTATAAAACCTCTAATTATCTAGTTAGTAGCACAATTATATACCATTGATCTTGCATGTGTGAGAAACATTAAGTACATACATTTTAAGTATACCACTTTTAAATTTTTTTAGTTGAAACATATTTATATGTATTTATGGTTATAAAGTGTGATAACCTGATCCATATATATGTATAGTCATCAGATTGGGTAATTAGCATTTCTTTATGTTGAGAAACTTCAAGCTTTCCTCTTTCAGTTATTTTGAGACAGACAAAAAATTACTGAAAACTACAGTCACTGTGCTCTGCTAGAGGCTATTAGAACTTGTTCGTCCTACCTAACTGGATTTTGATCCCATTGCAGGACCTCTCTCTATTCTGCCCTGCGCTGCACAAGAGGGCTGGGAGAAGGTATGGAAGCAGAGACACTGGTGAGGAGACGCTTGTGTCATTCAGGCAAGCGCAATGTTAATTAAGGTAGAACTGGGGGAGGGTGGCAGTGGGTGGATTTGAGAAAAATGCAGAAAAGTAGAATCAATGGGAAACCTGACTGAGCCAAGGAAATTACTACCAACAGCGTGTCCTGAGTGGACCTCCCCATCACTAAATCAGACTCTCCAGCCTGAAAAGGTTCTTAATGCTCATCCAGAACGGCCAGCCATCTGTCACTTGACGCCTCTGCCAAACATCAAAATGGAAACATTCTGCCTTGCTGTCTTTGAAGAAAGCAGAATACTGCAAAGGATGAAGGAGGATGGAGGGTTGTGCACAGGAAAATTCCAGCCACAGGAACAACACCCAAACCCAGCAACTGGCCCTCCATTCCACACATGGGCACTCAGAGTGTGAAAATAAAACCTAACCTTGCTTGCCACTGTGTGTTATTATCGTTACCTTGTACCCTGTCTACAAACCTAAGAGTTCTGGAGGCCCAGGAGGCAGGTCTTAGCTCCTGCACTGTTTGCAGCGCACTGCTGGCGAGTAGGTGTCAACAGAGGACAGTAACAATTAGGGAATGGACTCAGCCTGTAATTGTTTTCCCAGGTAGCCTCTGATAATCAAGGAAGATAATCATTTATCTTGGGGCAAAGGGTAAAACCTGCCATAGATTCAACCCTGGAGACAAACACTGTGAATATAAGAGAGCTACACCCTTCTGTGGAGAACAGTGAACTACACTTGACTACAGACTTAATTCTGGAGCCAAGTTTTATCAAATAATTTTGTAAAGCAGGCAACAGACAGCCTGAACTATGCATCCACAGCTGCATGCCTTCTCAGTCTGTCTCTTCTGATTCTTTCTCTTTCTTGCTTCTCCTCTTCCTCCCCCACCAAATACTATGGAGGAGTCTGGCTTCTGGCAATCATTACTCATCCCAACATGATCACGTGTGGATGTTTCCCGACACGGGAGCAAAGGAGAGCAACACGAGGTATTCAGATGCATGTGAAGGAAAAATAGCCACACCAACGTACTGCAGAACCTTGCAGGACAAGACGCTGGGAATGGCAGTGGCTGGATGGGACAGGATATCTGCCTAGATGTCACGAGCAACTGCTGTGGTTCGGGTGTGACTTAGGTGTCCTGTCAGGGTCCTCTGTGATGGAGGGGTGGCGCCCACATTGGTGCTATTGGGAGGTGTGTGGGCTTAAAGAGGTGGGAGGCCCTTGGGCCAATGGAGGAGCACCTTCGGAAGGGACTGTAGGGGCTGGGGATTTAGCTCAGTGGCAAAAGCGCCTGCTTGGCAAGCGCAAGGTCGTGAGTTCGGTTCCTGGTACCGGAGAAAAGCCAAAAAAAAAAAAAAAAAAAAAAAGGAAGGGACTGTGGACCTTAGTTTCCGCTCTCTACTTCAGGTTCAAATGTACTGGCTGACTTCCCCCTCGCCCCCGGCTTCTGATACTGCTATCTACACCACAGAGTATGTGGAGGACCACCTGGGTGACTCTCCTTGAAAGAGGAGCAATTGTCTCCATTGGGCTGAGCCTGACCCTGTTTCCATGTATTGACATGTACAGAGCTGGCTGGGATTTTTCCTTATCCCTCCACTTGGCTTTAAGCAATGCATATTGGTCTAGCCTGAGGTGCTGATAGCAGTCTTTGAAGAGAGCAGGTGTTTCCCTGACCCCTCCCCTAGTTCCCAGGAGTGAGTGAGGGGGGTGCTGGGGGGGATGTGGGCCAATGTGCCACCATGTTGGCTGGGATCCCGCCTCTAAATAGAGGCTATGATTTTCTCCAGCTTGAAAGATCACACGTCAGACCTGAAGAACCAACCCCAAAACATTAGGTACTATCTTAACTGTGTCATGCAGATTACTCTTTCTGCATAGCCCTTTTGCATTTGCAGAGGTCATTTCAGGCCTCCTATCTAGCTCAAGGCATTCACCCACAGGCCCCCTCAAATTCTCAGTCACTCATCCCCAAGCCACTTCCTCCTTCTTGAATGAGTAAAACCCAGGTTCAGCCCTGGGTGGAGGCCTTTGCTGTGGATGGCCATCATTGGGGCTGGATTTAGGTCTCCTTGACTTCCCATAACTACAGATACGCCTTAGTGTCTTTATTCTCAGCATGGGTTGCACTGGAAGTGGTAGATTGGAATGAACCCACTAGGATTCCAGTAACTTTCCACGGGATCACAAATGTAAACTCCCTGGGCCGTGATGAGGATGAGAAGGGCTCTCTATAGAGCTACAAAGTGTGGATTGCGTGGAGGAAGGGGAAGCCCACTGAGCGCTGGGGTTACACCGCCGATTTTGAGTCTCCAACGCTGTGAAACAAATAAACCTCTTTTCTTAGTGTCTCACGTTATCAAGACACAAAGCAATTTTTCTTAAAAGAAGAGAGAAAGTAATATCCCCTCTTCTTATCCAAGAGTGACTTGGATAACAACCAGAAGTGAGGCAGGGTTAGTGGTGGTGCACGCCTGTAGTCCCAGCCTGGTGGGGGACAGTGAGGGAGGAGGATCGCTGCCAGTTTGAGCCAGATCACGGCCAGCCTGAAGTACACAGTGAGACTCTAGCTAAAAAAAGAAAAAAAAATCAGGAGTGGATGAAAATCAGGAGTCTCAGAATTTGGATGGGTGGAATCTGGTCATGTTTTGAAATGACGTGTATTTTAATTAATGGAAACAGGAAGAGAGATGTGTGAAAATGTAAACAAAGGAAAATGGAAAAAAACATTTACTTTCCAATGCTATCTTTCTGAATCTAAAAAGATAACGGGAAACACAATTTTGGGCCTTCTAGGTGTAAACAAAGATGTTGTGGCTTGTGTCTAGATATCCCCCTACAGCCTCATGCACGCACAGGTGGGGCTTTTTGGAGCTGGCTGGACACTGGGCCTATGATACTGGGATTAAGGGTGTGTGGTAATAAATCAGCTCACTGATTGGAGTTTGCATAATTCTGGGTGTGGCTGAATGGATTTACTGAAAATAGAAATCCCGCCCTGGGTGCAGGTGGCACCACCAAAAGGCACGTAGCCTGGATAGGCTAAAAGGGGAAAGGGAGGCTGCTGCTTGCTGCCTGCTGCCTGCCATGCTCCTGAGCCACACCACCCAGCCTTGGAGCCAGCCAGTCATGGACTAAAGCCTCTACATACTGGGAGCCAAAATAACTCTCTCCTCCTTTAACTTTCGGAGTTGGGCATTTTGTCCTGGTAATGAGAAAAGTAACTAAGAAGATCTTTGCATTCCACAGCACCAAACAAAGCACTTTTTTGTGTGTTTAAGAAAAATAGAACTCATTGGACAAACACCGTGAGGTCTGCTGTGATTTTTGTGGAATGTGTTTCCGCTGGGGAAGTGCAGAGCCTGTGTTTTGGAAATCATCTTATTATGGAGAAGACCCCCCTCACTCTATCACACCTGGGCAGACACTCTCCACATTCAGCAGCACAGGTGCCTTCTTGATGGGGTTTGGATTGAGTTCTACTGCTCCATTCTGCTACAGCACATGGTTTGAGGATCTTTGTGAATCCCAGGACAGAGCTCAGTGGAGTTAACAATGCTGCAAGTGGGGACAAGGATGTCACCAGAGACTCTGGAGGAAGCCAGAGGGGTTTCTTAACTCCATAGCATATCTATCCTTCATTTAGAAATCATTAATTCACTTCTCCTGAAATCAAACACAAAACTGCCAACCAAGATCGTAACTTGAATTCTTGTGACCTATTTTCCTTTACCAATCAACCAGCGAACAAACTCATGCACCCTCACGGTTTAATGATGAAAATGAATGAACATTATTGAAATTACTGGAGCCTCAATGAACTAATGGAATGGTAACATACTTCTTACATTTCAAAATTATCTCTGAAATTCAAATTAAATTCTCCCACTGTCCTTGCTACCATGTCATTCAGTCTGGGAGTCACAGCACCCTGTGAGCACCTGGTAGAAGCTAGGGATGCTCTGCCGAGTCACACAAAGAGACACGATCTTGCACATAATTTTAGACGATTCATAGATTTTCCTCCTCTCCTTCAAAACAAAATCCCAACATCTCAACTTAGCACTTCTCTTTCACTAACTGGGATTGTGACAGGTTCAGAGAGCCCCAGGACTGGGTCCAGTGTAAGAACATTCATGGTTACTCAATGATCCGGCTTAAAGTGGGGATAAAGTTGTTCAAGGACAGAAAGTTGTTACTCTTTCCATTTTCAGTAAGCGTTGGTTAACTGGAGATTTCATAGCATAAAAAACAAGGTCAGGTTCTCTTACACAGACAGGGACCTGAAACCTCTGCCCTCAGAAGAGTGAAATTGATCAAGAAAGACTGTGAGCAGAACCACCCTAAACAGTTTACAGACCTAGAGGAAAATGGAGAGGTCCCCCAAAAGATCAAGATGCAATCTAAAATTAGCCCTAATGGTCTTGTTCTTTTGTAGAATCAGCCCACATGGGAATGCTGGCTTCAAGAATGCATAGTGGAAAAAGAAGAGTAAAATTATGTATATATGTATATACAGGAAAGCTAACATAGTTGTACTACTGACTTCTATCACTTTATTGAAAGGATTGGTTAATGATGAATTATTTTGATCAATCTTGTGTGTCTACATTTGTTTTCCTGAGTAACCACTTTGAAGTTATCAATATGTAATACAACAACCATTGTTAATTCCCTGTCACCTTATCTGTACTTCAGTATTGCTTGTACTATTCTTGTGCTACTTTGTAAACGGCTGTCTGTCTCTTAATATGTTTTCATTCTTTTACGTCTAAAAAAAAAAAAAAAAAAAAAATGCATAGTGCTCCAGGCACAAGCTCTGCCTTGCTAAGCAACATCCAAGCAATGTCACTTCTCCCTGACCTACCAGGAACCCAGCTTCCCTTCCCAGCCTCTCTGGCTGCTTCTCAAACTACTGGTTCTGTATCAAAATTTCTGCCTCCCTGTAGGGAGTGGCTAAAGCTGGGGATGGATCACACATGCAGGGCAAAGACAAAGCCCAC